ATAGTATAGGTCTAGTATTGATAGTATAGGTCTAGTATTGATAGTATAGGTCTAGTATTAATAGTATAGGTCAAGTATTAATAGTATAGGTCTAGTATTGATAGTATAGGCCTAGTATTAATAGTATAGATCTAGTATTAATAGTATAGGTCTAGTATTGATAGTATAGGTCTAGTATTGCAGGTCTAGTATTGATAGTATAGGTCTAGTATTGCAGGTCTAGTATTGATAGTATAGGTTTAGTATTACTAGTATTGGTCTAGTATTGATAGTATAGGTCTAGTATTAATAGTATAGGTCTAGTATTGATAGTATAGGTCTAGTATTGATAGTATAGGTCTAGTATTAATAGTATAGGTCTACTATTAATAGTAAAGGTCTAGTAATGATAGTATAGGTCTAGTATTAATAGTATAGGTCTAGTATTGATAGTAATGGTCTAGTATTGCAGGTCTAGTATTGATAGTATAGGTCTAGTATTGGAGGTTTAGTATTACTAGTATAGGTCTAGTGCTAAAGATGTTGATGTGGTTTACAGCGATCATAACTGACCACATACAAAATGTGTCCGCCTGCTGATCATCTTGGCAATTTAATATTACAAAGTATGGAGAACCATAAGTAATAATTATTTTGGCCCTACAAACGTTACTTGCAACTACCCCCCCCCCCCCACACACACACACACACTTGTTTACGGTAGTCTAGTAGGTTGACTTCACAACATAAATGCTCAGGGTCACTGTATTTATTCTAGGATGTCAAAAATGATGTATGAACTAGAAGGATGTTTTATATTTGGGATCATAGGTAGGCCTTTCTCCAGATTGCAAGTCATTTTAGTCTTCAATCCCAAAATACGAGCAACATAAAAGCATCTTGACAAGTATGTCCTTACTCAGATTAGAAATAGGTACATCACCAACAAAAACTCTTTACACTGCACAATATTCTAATTTTCAAAATTTGATAACCTTTCCATCATTGACTTAACTGTCTGTTGCCTCCAAACAATCCCTCAAACCATTGCACATCTTATTCGGTAGGCGACGATATACAAGATGGAGGTATCTGCAAAACGGCTCATGCTGTAATAATAAAATATAAACTCAAAACTTTGAATTAAATGAACACACAGTGATACTCGATGGACATCACTTCTGTATATTTAGTGTCCTGAAAGAAAATGTTTTTGCACATCTTTGAGTACATTCGTTTGTCTGTTTGCTAGCAGAATATTTAGTGAACTACAGGATGGATTTATATGAGTTTTGCAGAAAGTAATCACTGGATGAACATCTACAACTCATTGCTTTTTGGACTCAGTCCAATTCAAGATGGCTGCCACATCTTATCAACATGAGCCAACACAAAAATGGTAATATGCATTCCTTCACACAAAAAGATAATAAAAATTGCATTTTATTTCTCTAAACACAATTTTTCAAACTTGTTTCATTTTAGTTAGACATATGAATCTAAAAACAATGAAAAAAATTACTTCTTTTAAACAATTTGAGGTCACAAGAGTTGTTAAAAAGTGGTTGTAAACATTTATTTTTCTGTCTTTCAGTTTTTTAATCCAACTTGAGGATAAATGTAAAAAACAAAAAAACAAACAAACAAAAAATATATATAGTATATGAAAAGGAAAGCCTAACAACAACTGTCTGTTGCTTTTAAATCATGAAATTTACAACCTTGACAAATTGTTGTACATCGTTGTCACCTTTTATTTAATAAAAGGTTTTAGTGTTTATTTAATCAGGTAACTGTATTAAAAAGGCCCTGTTTTAATTGTTTACTAGATATGCAAACTGAATCTATTAAAAGTGCATTATCATTTTATATCCCAAA